GTGGTGTGTGCTTACAGGAATAACCATGACGTTGTTCTCCAGGAAGACCTTGTCAGCATCAGGGGTGGTGGGACCGTTGGCACCCTCAGCAATGATCTGACAAAGCACAAAGCCACACCAAGTGTCCTTACTCAAGTAAATCCCGATGACAATTCAAATCACAGCACTCTATTTTAAATCAAATCCAGTGTTTACCTTAGCCTTGATCCTGGGGGCGTTGATACGCGTGAGCTGCTTCTCTCCGGCGGCGGGGATCAGGATGTGGCAGTCGGCTTCCAGAATGTTGCCGTCGTAGGGTTTGGCTCCTGGGAAGCCCACGATGGTGCCGTGTTGCTGCAGAAAGCACAGAGGGAGTAAAATGTTGAATAATCTGTGTTCATTAACGGTGGTGTTGTTATGGAAACAAGAACGAGTAAAAGAAGAATTGGTGAATTTTGGAGAGGGGAAAGCTGCGCCGGTACCAGTTTGTAGTCCTCCAGCTGCTTGGGGTCGATGCCCTCTGGGTTGTAGATGGCTCCGTCAATCTCACCAATGCCCACACACTTGGCCCCAAACCTGTGCAGGTACCTCATGGAGTGGAGACCCACGTTACCAAAGCCCTGTGAAGAGGCACAAGAACGTCACAACGGCCACGGTCCAACAACATCAACAGCAAGCCATTTACACATCACATCCCACTGTACTGAGTTTGCTCTGCTTCATGTAATGATGTACTCTGGCGCCATCGTGTGGTTGGTTTAGGTCATAACCTCCTAAACATGATCTGAAACCATCAGATGGGTGCCACATGTTTTATTTTGTTTATTTGATGTAAATGTGGGTGAGAAAGGACAAAACAGACGGACAGAAACAGTGATCTTTGGGAAAAGTCATTCTGTTGCCGGCTTACAGTCGGAATGTGTTCTTATTTAGGTATATCACTGTGGGACCTTGTTGATTAATGCAGCTGGGATTATGTTTGATGTGGTAGATGGAGGGATAAGTAGCTGCCACAGTAGAGGAAACATCATATCGCTCCAACAATAGATATATGAATAGACTGCATATTGAAGAAAATATAGAAAAATAATTTTAAAAACGATGATGTGCGCATATGGATGACATCATAAAATCCCTAATCTCTATAATCTCATTGTAAACACAGTACAGCTACATCACAGACCTCTGACGTCAGCTCTAATGTAACTGTTGGAGGAGGACCAAACTTCACTACTGACGGAAAAGATAAAAACAAGTGCAACAGGGGAGTAAAATCATGTCTTGGTCTTAATACCCCACTACAGATCTGCTCTCTCTCTCTCTTCTCGGTAATAAATCTCTAAGAAAATCTAATCTCACCACAAAGTAATCCTCAAACACACACACACACACACACACACACACACACAGGGATTAGCTTTTTGAACACTCACATCATGATTCAGCCATTGTCACCGCTTCTTCACCCCCTCAGTGAAGTCTTTACCCCGTCACTCTAATATCCCCTCAGCAAATGCCGTCCTTCTTCAAAATCTCTCATTTCTAGCTCCGTTGCTGTTGCACAAAAACAAGGCCGCCTCTTTGAACTGATTAAGGGAGTGATGTGCAACGGGTAAGGAAACAAGTCGCAGCAGTTACACGGTTGCCGCTACCTCAACGGACTGCATCTAAACATATGGGGCTGTTCTAATCCGGAGTATCACATGGCACAGTTGTCATGACAAGCGGTAATTATTCCAGGAAAACAGCTGAGGCCACTGTCTTGGATTTTCATGCCAATGTGTCAGTGCTTGTGCTTGTATCCACAACACGTGAGGAGCCTCATGTGGAAGTGAAACTGCTACAGAGAATGCTGCTCTTTGACTTCTCGTCTCTGCAGAAACACTTCTCCTTTCACAAATCTACAGTTTATATCTTCAAAGAAAGAACAGCCACTAAGCTGTTCCGATGACTGCATATAACCTTTATATATAACTTAGCATAAATGATCTTTTAAACTTTAACCGTCTTGCAAAGTTGCAGGAATTCAAGTAGCAGAGCAGCATCACTTTTTTTTTTTTGTTTCTTACTGAATCATCACTTTCCATGAACAAAGAAGAGAAACCTCGGCTCACTGCTGTCAGCGTAGAACGAGGAGGTCAGGGTCGGGCTGAAGCAGATGGTGTGGCTCTGATTGAAGCTAAAACCCCTCATCGTGACTTCAAATGAGAACTTAAATCCTGTGAGCAAATAACTTCGGTACGAGTGAAATGCTTCTACTCTGATCCAACCAACAGTGTGTATGTCTGCGTACCTGGATGATGAAGGTCTTGTCCTGGAAGCCTGGAGTCAAGCCCAGCATGCTCATGTAAGACGCCTCGTTAATGAAGTTCTCGATGCCGTGGAAAACTCCGCGACCGGTGGCTGAGATACGTCCGTGGATTCCTCCCTGGCTGATGGGCTTCCCTGTCACGCAGGCATGGGCGTTGATGTCCTGCAGACATGTTGAAGAAAGATCAGACCACACAGATCACTGACTGTACACAACGGTGCACACAGCAGGCTTGTTGGCATTTTTTAATTAGGCAGGAATGATCTTAAAGCCTCAGTGTTTGCAGTGATTCTCAGAATTAACCAAAACTTCTTTGAGGGAAAAAATCTTAATGCAACTCAGCTGATCTGATATTTTAGGAACCAGCATCTAGTAGCCATCAGTGGCATTTTTCCTTCTGCACCAGTTTCAGCGTTTGGCTGCTTGACCCACATGTAGTAAAATGTGATCAGAGGACAAGGCCTTGTGGCAGCTGACTGTACTCAATACACACTACCCATTAGCCACTGCCATGAGATACCCAGACCAGGAATTTGGCACCCACTCCAAAGCTCTGGGTATCTGCAACAGAAGGCACATGACTGGATAAGGTGAGTGAAGGCTAGAGGGGAGAGTGGACAGGAAGCCAAACTGGATATCAGTTATTACAGTCATTCACTAATGAATGATTCAGGGGTGCTGACTAAT